GTGTGTGTGTGTGTGTGTGTGTGTGTGTGTGTGTGTGTGTGTGTGTGTGTGTGTGTGTGTGTGTGTGTGCATGTAAGTTTCTGGGTTGGTGGTTGAGAGACAGATGTACGAATAAAACCACTCCGATTTTCATCTAGGTTCTTATTTTTGGGTTACCAATTTCAGTTTAAACTCATATATTATATAATAAATAAGTTCTAAGTTATAAATAATAGTTTATCTCATTGACATTTAGGTGAAATTTATGTGTTCCATATGTGTTGTTCACATAAAAAGTTAGAAGAACATTGTACAGTTTATTTGAGTAGGATGATGGTGTGTCATACCAAAATCACATGAATTTCCCATCATTCCTATGATTCACAGTCTGTTTGTAGAAATGCAGTCAGATGCTCAGAATTTGCAGTCAACAGTATTTTAAAAGTGTGTGCCTCTTGTGTGGCCTTTTGTGTTATTCTGTGCATTTACAGCATGTATAGTGTTCGACTATATTGTATATATTGTATGGCGTGAGACCAGACTATTTTGCATTCCCTAACTTCTATACTATACAATTATTCACCATTAACGAGCAGCACATTAACATAAATAAAGCCCCGAAAAAGATAGTTAGTGTTCTTGATTCATGATTTGCTGTGCTATTGTGAGATGCACCTCAGGGCAGCAATTAAAGAGAGTGAATATCAGTGCTAATGATTGGCAGACAGTGTATAGACTTGAAACACTATACATCACTTACAGTAGTTGGTAGAATGATTCTTATATAGAGAGTGAAGACAAAAAGTCATAAGGATTTTAAAGGTAGAAGTAAATGGGGAAAACATCATAAAACAAAGCTACATCAGACATGCTAATCGTAGGTTGTCATCTAGAAAGGTTGAGAACACATATGTTAAGACATGCAGCACTGAACCACCGTTCATATAAGAAGTGAAATATTTTTCATTTCTTCACTCAGGCTAATGTTGTAGGGGGGGGAAAGAAGTCTATAATTTGTGTCTGGATTTTGTATTTATTTGTGTATGTGTTTTTTTATGTAAAAATAAGTGCCTTGCTGTCATGCATGGCGGCCAAACCGCCTGTGGCTCACGGACTCACGGATGGATTAACAAAAAAAGTCTGAGACACCACCACAACACCACAAGGTTACAGAAACGTTCCCATTTCTGTAAGAAATAATCACGTGGACTTGTGTGTTTTCACACCATATAGCTCACATATTCCCCAATGTAAATCTCTGTAGCGAATCAGCTCATGGGGAAATATGAATAATTAATCATAACTAGTTAACTAGTAACTAGTAATTAATTATAAATATTTAGATCCGCTGTAGATATTTAGCTGACCTCTCAGGGTCAACTGTCTGTCAATTCTAAGAACGTTAATTTCCTGGTTAAGGGAAATAACTTTCTTACTGTACAAT